GCAAGTGTGCAGCAGGCAGGTTTTGCTTTCTCTTTTGCCTGAGATATAAACAAAATGCTGTACGTCATGCTGTCATCTTAAAGAAAAGAAAAATGAAACCCACCTTTCATCGTCAGCACTACCATTTCTAGACTTATATATAAGACTGCATGAACTCATTAAGCTGATGGACGTCTAAACACGTGATTGGACACAAGGATTTTGTTCTTGTTTTGTCTACCAGTTCTCCTGTTTATATCTACTAGAAGAGGAAAAACAATACTGAATGAGATTGTTTGTGGAAATCTGAACAACATAAGCCATCCGTCATCTGGAAGAACAAAAAATGTGGAGTACGCTGGCCTACTACTGATGACTTCTTTCAGCTTTGATCTAAAGATGTATTTTATTAAAACTATAATTTAAATGTACCATGAAAACTAAGCAGCAAACATTAGCTCTTTTCTAAAATAGATTAGACTTTTTGTCTTAGAAATATTGTACTTTCTAATTATTGGTTTAGAGTTAAAAAAAAGCCAACTTCCAATTATGAGCTGCTTTACTCTTTTGTTTGGAAAATCTTCCAGGGGAGCTAGTCAAACTGCAGTTAACCTCCTCCCCTCTATCCCAGTAATCTGTATGACATGTAACTTCAAAGCAATTTTAAAACTAAGCTATTTTAACATGAAAGTCGCTGTATAGCATGGAAGCCTTCTGCATTCTTTTTTCCTAAGTATGGTATTTGAAATGATTCAACTTGTTTAATACCTTGCTATAGATCAAACCATCGAAGAGGAGAGCATCGATTTTTCAGTTGTATATTTTTTTTTTAATTAAAAAAGTAAATAGCATTAAAATACCCTCTACTAATTACACTTATGCTTTCTTGGTTCGTAAATATTTGTGAATGCTAATATTTAAATACTGTGGCTCATAAACTGTCATATATCCATGAGCAAAGCTCACATTCAGTTTAAGGAGTTTTGTTCCCAGCTCAGTGGTTGAAATATGTCCACACTACTGATTCTCAGTGCTCCATTCTTTCTGTGAGCCAGATCACCAAAATGCAAAGAACCAGCACTAAGCCACCTAAATTCTAATCCCATAGCCAGCTCTGGTTTAAGATCCAAGGGACAGTTCTACCTGGGGGTGAAGTCTGCTGCAGTAGAATATTGGTGAAGTTCAGCTTAAGACTAACAGATCATTTGGTCCTGCACTTCTGTCTTATTCTATGTACAGGAGAGCAACAGGGCAAAACAGACAACGTACTTGCACCATAAGTGTCAGTTTAGGGTTATAAGTAGTGGATTTATTCACCTCAGCACAGATGTGCCTGTGGTCCCCAGTTCTATGCTGTCCACTTCTTTTGAGGTCATCTTTCTCCAGCCTCCCATAATTTATCTTTGTGAGTCCGTAAGTGACATAATTTCAAGTAATGTCAGCATGGGGAAATTTACTAGAACAAAGTTTGCAGTTTGCTGAAGGACTTTTTATATAAAAGTGTGTCTGTACTGATGACGGATCCGTTCTGTTGTTATTTACTACAGATTATTTAATTCATCAATCGCTACACTATCAGCCTTTTCAAGTACAATATAACACAACTCCTGTGACAGCATCTCTCACAATATATCCCAGTCTCTTTCCCACTTAGTAATTCAAGTATCCTGATTAGTGAAGCCTTGGAGTCTTGCCTCCATAGCAATTGGATTTTCACTAAGGGCCCAGTCACTTTTTTCTCCTTTGAATCTTTTGGAGGGGATGAACTTGCAAGATGTTTTATCATATAATTCTTTAGCAAAAAATTAATTGAAAAGACCTGGACAAGGCTGTAAGGCCACATTTTAGGAAAGCATGTGGGAATTTAGTTTCAAAGCAACTTTGTCTCTCTTTTGTTTAACGTGACTCCAGTGAATTTTAATATATGGTTACGTTCCCATGCTTTCATGATGTGCTGAATAAGGATGAATTAAAACATAGGTTCAACTATGTGCTTTTCTGTACAGAAGCATTAATTTTTCAGCTCAGCCTATGATTGATTTTTGTGCATTGTTGGAGTATTTAATTGTAGTCACACAATACTCTCTAGCCTTTTGTGTAGGGCTACTTTGTACCATGAAGTCATTAGAATCCTCTTTGTTACAGAAGGAACAAACAGTTTTAAAATGAGTCTCAGAGAATTCAGTGGGAAAAATACAGAGATTTCAAATTACTTTGTTTCCTTCTTTACATATTGATAGAATTGCTATCTAATTTCTTTTCTCTACCATGCTCATAACAACTGGTTCTCTGGGATCTTGCTGCAAAGTATCAAACCAAATCCAATCTCTTTCACCAACAATGAAGAAAAAACAGATTAAATTAAGTCTGGATTCTAAGATATTTTTCTCTATATAGAAAAAGATAAACTATAGGAAGAAAATTACAGAAGTTGCAATGTTTTTGCCATAACCTGGCAGTCTAATTGGACAATTAATGTGAGCAGATCTTAAAAACTTTAATCCAATCCTCGCAGCCATGAGTAGCCTTATTTATGCCTTTGTGTTTGCTCATATAAATATATGGGCAGACAATCAAGCCAGCAATGGAAATTTTTTATTTTTAGGCTCATATTATGGTCAAGTTAAAACAGCATTTAATACTGGTGTGAAATTAACTTTTTTCAAAGAACACAGGCCTTAACGAATTCATGTATAAAAAGATGCCCTGCAGCTTCAGTAAATTCATACCCCCATTTGGGTCATTATTGTTTAAAGCAACATAGGGTTTGAAGATAAAGGTAAAAATGGTCTTTCTGTAAATCATCAATAAAACTCTAAATTGCTGGTTACAGACTCTAGAAAAAGTAAGTAAAAAGTTGTGTTTAAGCTGGAGAGAATAAAGGATTTCATTTATAACCAGAAAGATCTATTTTGATTTGTTTTAAGATACCCATTTGCAAGAAACAAAAATTAATTGAATCTTATTCTTACTCATCAACAGTTTGCACTTCAGTGGATCACTGAAGATGGGGATTTGTTCAATGGCTCCTAAAAACTGTGTGGTTATGTTAAACTATAACATCAAACTGAGAAAATGTGCATCTTTGCAGAACAGAGTTAAATCCTCATGGCCCAATAAAGTCACTGTGTAAAAAAATTAAATTAAATGCATGTGAATGCGCATTTACTGATCCTTTTTATGTATTATTTAGTGAATATCAATGGTATGTGTTTAATAGTTCAGTTTTTGCTACCTACACATTAGCCAAAAGAGATGTAAATATTTTTGACTAGATAAGGAGGTACAGTGTAAAGTACTGTTATCTAGAGGTACTCCACTTTGGTGTGTTCAGCATAATACTAAAATGCAAGATTTTGCCACACAGGTGATAAGGTGGTTTATTTGCTATAGCAGTGTCAAAGTTATGTGCTTATTCTTTAAGCACATTCCTCACTGGGTAGTAAATAATTCTACTTCTGTATTTATCACTTCAATTCAGTTGGGGACTAGAAAACTGGAGAGGAAAAAAAAACTGTTATGAAACTGCTGCTGTAAATTATTTCTTTTAGCATGTATTCAGTTGTTAAATAAACATTTCTTCCAAATATTTGAAGTTCACTGTCTTGACTGTTTAGATAGAAATGTGCCCTGCAACCTTCACGAGCGTATGGAGTGCATTGTTGCCAACATAATGCTACCAATGCCTTTGAGCTCTGTTTACTAGGTCAGAAGGGTTGCTATTTTGTTAATGGCATTTATTGTTTCTTTTTGGTGACTACAAACCAATAATACCTGACATGATAGCTACAAACTTATCTTTAGCTTATGCTTTGGCCCAACTGTGTGGGCTTGTGCAGAGAAAGCCACGCACACACACCCCCACCCTACTCTCCCTGTGAACTAAACTGTGAATCAAGCCTGGCAGCCACGCAAACGCTAGTGAGCTGCTGCACTTCATCAAATTCACTCTGTGCCATGCTCACGGCTTAGTTCAGCTGTGCTACTTCCCTTTGGAAACTGGCTTGCATAGACAGCAAGCAGAATGAGTATGTTCTGTTATCAACAATCCCGTGTATCCTTAGGTAAACTTAGCGGCTCTTTGGAAGTGCCGAGGGGCTCTACCTAAATGTAATACGCCAAGGCACTAAGCAGTGTGCAAACAGTGAATGGGACAGGTGCTGCCCTGGAAAGCATGAAGTTTAATATACCAGAGAAGAAGTGAACAGTATTATTTCCATTTGGCACATACAGAATTGGGGAAACAACCAGTAGTACTTAATCATCACTAATCTATTCGGCTTTGCCCATATTCCCTCCTGTAAAACAAGGATAGAGATGTCCAGCTCAAAAGGATATTCTAAGGATATTTTATCGTTACTGCTGTCTTCTGAAGATGAAAATAAGCCCTCAGCCGCAGCCTGGCAACTCAGTGGGATTCAAAAAGAAGTCTGCAAATACAAGGACAGAACGGATGTGGCAAGCCGTGAATCCACTAACTCAAAGTCCAGAGTGATTTTTGGCGTTTATTTTGTCTATCCAGTGCAGGATTATAAGTGCTCACAAAGGAAGACCCTAGTTTCTGGACGTAGCCGTGCTGTGTCCTTTGCCTGAACTCCCTGCAGAGCACAGCTAAACTGCCCTCTGTTACTACTTTGCTACACTGCCAGGAATGTACAATGCCTAGGGACAACCCTCTTTGACACTCAGTAGGAAGAAAGGAGAAACATTTGGGGTTTAATGCTTGTTTGTTCAT